TATTTTTTTTTGCGTTTGCCCACTTCTTATCTTCATTCCTTGATACACACACACACACACACACATATATATATATATATATATATATATGTTTTGTGTGTATATATATATATATGTGTGTGTGTGTATGCATATATATATATATATATATATATGTGTGTGTGTGCATGCATATATATATATATATATATATATATATATATATATATATATATATATATATATATATATATAAATGAAACTTCTCTTATCCGACGTGTTTCGTCATCTGAGAGACTTTATCAAGGCAAATGTAACGATTTGTAACGATTTTATTTTCTGACAATTATTTAAACACAAAAAAAAAAATATAAATAATTGTTTTTTTTGTTCAGTTTAGTATCGGAGTGCTCATAATTATTCATCAAGTTAGCGGAACAGTCCGGCAAGTTCATGGACGTGACGTGCTACAGTTTAAGCCTTAATAAATGAAAAATATATATATATATATATATATATATATATATATATATATATATATATATATATAGAGAGAGAGAGAGAGAGAGAGAGAGAGAGAGAGAGAGAGAGAAAGAAATTCGTATTTAAATTATTTTGGATTGAGATTGGTTTATGCGTTATATGATTTGAATAATAATATGAGGCTATGGATTTAACCGTTTTCTTTTTAATTTTTTGTATTTTGTCATATAAGACGTCTTTTTGTCTTTATACATATTGTCATTTTACAAATATACTCTTTCTGAATTTTTTGCAATATAGATTGAATAGGAGCATCTTTGATTATGGGTGAAGTTTTCGAGCTGACTTTCCTGTTAATAGGTCAATTATATCTACAACGAAGGGTCTGAAATGGTGGTCCATGGAGCCTTGGCAGCTAACAATTGACCTGAGTGGAATACCGTCTTTGTGAATGGGATCAGACATACTTTGACAGGATGAATGCTTAGCAATGGGCTCGCCATTATTACCAGTAATGGGACGCATGTATGGAATACTTTGAAGAGATGGTATTAGAATCCAAATCGTCAAAGCCAACCTTATGGCTGAAATACGTAGATGGACCATGTTGAACTTAATAAGATCATCGAAGCTGTTCACAACGGAGAGAGAAAACAACAAACTAGCATTACTGAATGGACTAATATCTCGAACAGAGCATGGGTTCAAGGTATCCGTATACATCCAGCCAACATTCAAAGGATAATTCCTCAATTTCAACTCCAATCAACTTTAGGTACAGTGTAATGAAAGGAGTCGTCCGCCGCTTACTACATCGAGCAAAAAGCGCCGACCCAGAAACATGAACAAAAAAGGCTCAGTATAAGCAGTACCTTACGACGTAACAACTACCCTGGGTACATGGTGGCAGCTCCGAGAAAACTGAGATAGAAAGGTACAAGAGATAAATAATGACAACAACTCATTACAGAAATATAGACAGGTGCTCATGTTTTTCATTGACATCTTTTTGTACACTGATATGAAAATGACCAAAAACTAACTGATAGACGTATAAAGAGATATGATGCTGAACTTTCCACACACGCACAAACACAAATATATGATTAAATTTAGTTTTAAAATGTGCTATATTTATAGGTAAACGTGCTCAACATCAGGAATACAGTGTATGCAAATATAAAAGTAAACATTGAGATCAATAACCAAAGGAAACAGTCTGTTTCCTGCTTAAACGCAAGCTTTAGGCCATGTGTGTTGTGTTTTGTCTCGTCTATTTATATATGCTGTTCGTTGGTGCATTATGGGTATCAAGGTCTATTGTATTATCCAAGCGTTTATTGGATAGGCTGTAACAGTTATATTTCAAATTATTTTTAAGGCTACTGAGTAGGAATAATTGCAGACCCGAATGTGGTTGTTAAATTTCGTCTTATATCGTTCATTAGGTCTAGAGGGTCCGATAAATTGACTTTTCGAATCACCTGTAATTGATGAGCGAAATTACCCGAAATTCTGGAACATAACATAAGTTTCTTGCACATTTATGAATAGATTATATATGTTTTTTTACGTTATCTATATCTATAAAACAGATGTCTTTGTGTGTATGCTATTTATGCACGTCCATATTTCTCAACTGATTTTGATGAAATTATACACCGATATTGTAAATTTATTAAGATAGGTCAAGACTTACTTTTCGATCTCCAGTGCCCATCCACGGTTTGGGCAGAAAAATCGATAAAACTGAAGCTGGGTCCGACTGTTTACAAAAACCAAGGCAAAGTTACATGCAAACAACATTTTTACGGGATGAGCTAATGTTCCCTTTTAACGCTTCAATAATCCTTTTCAAACAATTTTTTGCATCAACGATTGGTCGAATGTCAATTTAGGATCGAATCATATGAAGAGAATATTGGCTAAATAGAAAAGCTGATTTAGGAAGTCGTAGATTTCGTCCACTTAACTGAATTAATCTAAACCAAACATCCACGCAAGACAATTTGTGTACCATGTAATTTACATGGCAAATTTGAAAAGCGCCGACCCAGAAACACGAACAAGAAAGGCTCAGTATAAGCAGTACCATACGACGTAACAACTACCCTGGGTACATGGTGGCAGCTCCGAGAAAACTGAGATAGAAAGGTACAAGAGATAAATAATGACAACAACTCATTACAGAAATATAGACAGATGCAGATGTTTTTCATTGACATCTTTTTGTACACTGATATGAGAATGGCCAAAAATTAACTGATAGACGTATAAAGAAAATAGCATAAAAAATGAGGATGTTGTTAAATTTTTATTTTAAGTAGTACGAAAAACCCGTTTTTTTCACATTTTTTTGAAATTTTTTGTGCGAAGGCAATGTCGCAAGAAAACTATTAACCACCCTACATAAACCTAGTAACTTTTATGCTATTTTCTTCAAACAAACGCAAAGAATTTGCCATCATGCATGAAATAATATAGTGTGCTTTTAGTCCTGCTCGCTACCCGGCGTATAACAAAAAGAAAACATGAAAAACTGTTAAAAACCCCGTTTTGCTCGATGTAGTAAGCGGCAGACAACTCCTTTCATGACACTATACCTAAAGTTGATTGGAGATGAAATTTCGGTCATATCTTCCTGGTTTTGCATAGGATGCTTTTCAAATTTGCCATGTAAATTACATGGTACACAAATTGTCTTGCGTGGATGTTTGGTTTAGATTATTTCAGTTAAGTGGACGAAATCTACGACTTCCTAAATCAGCTTTTCCATTTAGCCAATATTCTCTTCATATGATTCGATCCTAAATTGACATTCGACCAATCGTTGATGCAAAAAATTGTTTGAAAAGGATTATTGAAACGTTAAAAGGGAAAAATTCGCGAAGAATCTCTTATTAACCCCAGCTTTACAGTAAACGTGGGAAGAAGGTGAGGGCGATTATGGGTTTCCACTTGCAGTTGAATCAAGCTCTGACGCTTCATCCTTGTTTTGTTTGATTATTATAACTGTGAACAAGGCCACACTATTTGAAATTTATTAAGGCCATAGAAAATTTACTGAATATCTAAAACATTGAAACAACTTAATCCATAACAACGACCAGACAAGAAGGTTTTATCGATGGAATTCTTTTATTAAGTACAGTTAAACACTTTCGAATGACATACCTTAAAAACGATGAGGGTGGAGTAGCTTAGGATAACAACGGATGATGCATGCAAGCGGGAACGCAGGCAGACATTTCTAGGTTGGGGGTGCGGATATAGAGGGAGGGTACGGTTATACAATTTCAAACATTTACACCCGCTCAACGCCGGGTACCTTGGATAGACTAATATATATATATATATATATATATATATATATATATATATGGTGTTTATTTTGTCAACCGGCTTGTGCATTTGAGAAAACTTAAGAAGATGTGCCCATCGCCAGGTTTACAATACACATCCCCCTTTGTAGGAGAAACCGTCGTCATGCTTTAGACCATCCGATTATGGAGAGCCTCAAAGCCAAGATATATAGATTTTTTATATGGAATATGTCGGAAAACTTTTATAAACTTAACATTTCAATATTTAATTAGCTTCATCTGAAATGGGTGTGGGTGAAAGTGTGGAAATATTTCGATTTACAACTCCAACTCTAGATTATCCAACTTTGAAAATGTTCTGATAAAGCTAAAGAAACAGGGAAACCGTTATAAATTTTACCAATTTTTTAATCGGTATCATCCCATGAAAGACATTAAAGCCACTAAGACACAAGGGGGTTACAGGGTGTGGAAACATTAGGAACAGAAGCATTAATAATGAGCGAAAACATGAAAGAGTAATTAGGAGGACAGTAGATAGAGATTGAAATTGCATTTAAAGTTGGTTGAAAATCATGGAGCCGGAAGGGAGTCTCACAAGAAAGAAGTGTGAGAAAAGAAACTGTTAGCATAGAAGATACATCTACCTCTAGCTGGTTCACCTGTAAATTGATAAGCCAATCCAAGTGCTGAGGTTAAATTCAAAATATCTTGTATCATAATGAAGAGCGATATTTATTTCTGTTGAAATAGGCTAAAATAGATAATAGGGGGGATTCTAGTTGTCTTCTGTCTTAACATTAATCTTAGCTAGCCACAATCCTTGATCCAAACATACCACAATATTCCATAACGAAGAACTCATCCGAACAATTACCATGAAAGTATTTATGGATAAGGCACAAAAAGGCCATCTTATGGTGGTGGGAAACTGACTGAAGCCGAGCTGCCAGATCAGAACTAATAATATTACTAAATATTTAATATTTTCGTCGGATTAAACCCATATCTAACACACACGCGCACACACATACACACACACAAACACACACACACTATTTTTTATAGCGATTCTTTCCTGTTCTGAGGAAAACTACGACGATTTTCTTGATGAATTTCATGGTGAACATCAAGAAGCTGATTACACAATAGGAAAGGCTCAGTATCAAATAAATAGACATAATAGGTTTATATTCGTCAATGGAACATGTTTAAATGACAATATGCTGCCTTAATATCTATCTATCTATCTATCTATCTATCTATCTATCTATCTATCTATCTCGTCCCGTTCATCTATCTATCTATCTATCTATCTATCTATCTATCTATCTATCTATCTATCTATCACAGCCTGGTTATATCTATCTATCTATCTATCTATCTATCTATCTATCTATCTATCTATCTATCTATCACAGCCTGGTTATATCTATCTATCTATCTATCTATCTATCTATCTATCTATCTATCTATCTATCTATCACAGCCTGGTTATATCTATCTATCTATCTATCTATCTATCTATCTATCTATCTATCACAGCCCTGGTAATATCTATCTATCTATCTATCTATCTATATCTATCTATCTATCTATCACAGCCTGGTTATATCTATCTATATCTATCTATCTATCTATCTATCTATCTATCTATCTATCTATCACAGCCTAGTTATATCTATCTATCTATCTATCTATCTATCTATCTATCTATCTATCACAGCCTGGTTATATCTATCTATCTATCTATCTATCTATCTATCTATCTATCTATCACAGCCTGGTTATATCTATCTATCTATCTATCTATCTATCTATCTATCTATCTATCTATCTATCACAGCCTGGTAATATCTATCTATCTATCTATCTATCTATCTATCTATCTATCTATCTATCTATCTGGCATCACTTTAAACATTATTTCTAATGGATGTTCCTTTTTGAGTAAACGCTCCATTTGTTTATTAAACAGAATATTTATTTATTTTCGTCTATTGAATATTCGCAAAATCTTATTAAAAAAAAATGTGTTCTCTGGCAGTTTTTTTCCCTAATAAGATTTCTCGAATATTCAGGCCAAGAGACAAAAATAAATAAATATTCTATTTGATAAATAAACAGAGCTGCTATTCACATACGAGTATCCGTTAAAAATAACAGTGATAAAATATGTCGGACAAATAAAAAAAATTATTAGGGAATACATACATACATATATATATATATATATATATATATATATATATATATATATGTATATTATATACTAAAATGATGATGTTTTATTGTGTCTGGCTGAATAATTGCCTATTTAAAGAACTTATAGTCGGAAAGATTTAGAAGGATAATGTGTATTAATCGGTTCCGAAGATTACATAGGGAATATCTGACGACTTTAGTGTCATATTTTTACTGTTTTAATCCATGGAAAATATATTTGACCCCTTCTTAAGAATCTGATTCAGTCATTTGACCATTATCCAGAAAGTTTGTAACCATTACTTACATGAAGCGAAAGGGTGCAGTTAGCGAAGTCTATTTTTGGGGTTAAAAGTTAATTTTTTATTTGTTTCAATGTGTTAAGATTTTATTTAATTTCAAATTTCATGTATTAATGTTGGCGTTATTTTAAAGAAAGTTATTTGGTGCAATTTTAAAGAAGAAATACTGAACTTTATCTTAAAATAATATTTGGGTAATTAAAACAGTTTAAATTAAAACAATATTAATTTAGTTTACGTCAAAATTACGAATTTTCACTTTTCCAGTCATCAAACAATGCTATTTTCTGACACCTGGCGTCAAGTGATAAGAAACTTATTTAAACAATTTTTAAACATTAAAATAAAAATGTCAATGTCTCGTTAAAACAGAAACTATTAAGTTGAAGAATTGTGATCAAGATTAAACCAAAATTACTTACTTTTTACTTAAAATCAGTGAAAAAAAGCTGTTGAAGTAGCAAGTAGCTTGTAGAGTAGTTGACAGACAAACAGTAAGTGACAAAATATTACGGTAGACCGTATATGACAAAAGATTCGCGACTGCCTGCCCTCAATCCAAATCACGTTTCGCCACTGATACACACACACGCGCGCGCACACACACACACACACACAAATATATATATATATTGGTTATCATCTACTGTTTGTTTTTGTTAATCGGTTTCGTAACACGATGGGATTTATGCTAGGATCCAGCGTTATCAAAATGCTTAAGCTAAATCATTTTTCATCTTTCTTTATGTTATGCGAGATTCCCGTAAATCACCGGCGTGATAGATTCCAATACGTCCCTTGGCAAATAACGTCGACGACTTTATGAAATGCAATCGAATGAGAAATACTGGTCTCCCTTGCTGCTTATTGGACATCCGATTTTTATTACCGAAGGAATATTTTTCCATCAGTCGCATTTAATTTTATTTACTTACTTTGCTCTTTTCTTCTCAATCATTTTTCTTTGCCCTTTTTGCCATTTAATCATGTTTTTCTTTCCTTCAATTTTGCTTTTAGTGTTTACTCACTTTTTGATTTGTTTCTTATCGATACCCATTCTTTTCCAATCTTTTTATTTACTACAGATTCTTTCTGTAATTTTCACTTTCCACTTTTCAGTTTTTTTTGGTCAATTGAAGACATTGCTTTATCTTTACAAGACTGGTTTTAGTTTTTTCAATCGCCTCTTTGATTGATTTTTTCTTTCTTTCTTTCTTTCTTTCTTTATTAGTTGTCAAGTCTTTTTCTTTAATTCTTTCTGGCCTATATTTCTTCGTTTATTTAGTTCTTTCTTTCTTTCATTTTTTTTCTTTTGGTGTCTTTTTATTTAACACCTTTCTTTCTTTCTCTCTTTCTAAGTCTTTTTTCATACAGTCTATATTTCATTGCTTCTTTCTTTTTTCTTTCTTTGTTTTTTTCTTTCATTCTTTCTTCGCCATTTCTTTGTAAAATAGACTTTCTTGCATTTTATTCTGTAATATTTGTTTATTTCCTTGCTTCTTACTTTCTACAATGCATTTCTTTCTTTTTTCTTTCTTTCTTTCTTTCTATATTTCTTTCTTTCTTTTTTGACAACTTCTTTTCTTTGACGCCTTTCTTTCTTAATTTCTTTTCGAATCTTTTTTCCTTAATATCTTACTTTCTTTCTCTCTTTCTTTCTTTCTTTCTTTCTTTCCATTTTTCTGCACGATTTCTTTTTAAAAGTTTCTTTTATTTTTTCTTTAGGGTTTCTTTCTTTCCTTCTTTCTTTCTTTAATGCTATTGTTTCTTCCTTTCTTCACTATTTCTTTTAAGTCTCTTTCTTCTTTAGAGTTTGTTTGTTGTTCTTTCTTTCTTTCTTTCTTTCTTTCTTTCTTTCTTTCTTTTCTAACTCCCCGTTTCTTTTTAGAATTCTGTTGACATAAAAGATGAATGATTTGCTGTCTACAGTTCTTTTCTTTGAGCTTCCGACAGAAATTCTGGCTTTATGGTGAAATTGAAGTTTTAACTTGATATATGGCACCTAGCATTTTAAAAGAGAACTGCCCTTTTTATTGTGGGTATCTTACAGAAAAAGTCTTATTCTTTTCAGCATTTCCATGATGAACGCTTCTTAAGAAAAAATTCCCACTTCCTTTCCTCAAACCCCATACAAAGAAGAGGGCAATTAAGTGGACAATCCTTGGAATATTCCCAACTTCTGTTTTGTCTGTAAAAAAAAAGCAGTAAAAGGATTTAATAACAAAAAGTGGTACCATATATATATATCCATATATATATATATATATATATATATATATATATATATATATATATATATATATTTTGTATTTAGGTAGCAATCCTTCCTTCTTTCATGCACATTTCATTGAATACGACAGACAAGGTACTTTGCTTTAATTTATTTTTTTTCTTTTCGGGTGATAGATTGCATGAAAACTGTTCGAACGTTCTTTCTAGCCGAGCGCTTATTAATAATAAAAAAAGCAACACTCAATAATATCAACTATGAACATGGACACAATATTTTGACCATGTTTTGAAAATGAAAACATTATATAAATGCATACATGCAACAAACTATTTCTTATTTAACAGTTAAAATATTTCAACCTTAAAAATGGCTAAATGTATAGCAAAAAGGGCTCGGATAAAAATAATATTCGGACAGTTTTTATATAATTTATCATCTGAAAAAAATAACATTATTAGATCATATGAGAAATTGTATAAAAACTTAATCAAAGCATCTTATCTGTATTCAATATATATATATATATATATATATATATATATATATATATATATATATATATATATATATATACAGAGAGAGAGAGATAGACAAATATATATATATACAGAGAGAGATAGACAAATATATATATATATAGACAGAGATAGACAAATATATATATATATACAGAGAGAGATAGATAAATATATATATATATATATATAGAGAGAGAGAGAGACAAAATATATATATATATATATATACAAAGAGAGGTAGACAAATATATATATATATATATATACAGAGAGAGATAGACAAATATATATATATATATACAGAGAGATAGACAAAATATATATATATATACAGAGAGAGAGAGAGACAAATATATATATATATATATATATATATATATATACTAAGAGAGATAGACAAATATATATATATATATATATATATATATATATATATACAGAGAGAGATAGACAAATATATATATATATATAGAGAGAGATAGACAAATATATATATATATATATATATATATATATATATATATATACAGAGAGATAGAAAAAATATATATATATATAGAGAGAGATAGACAAATATATATATATATATATATATATATATATATATATATATATATATATATATATACAGAGATATAGACAAATATATATATATATATACAGAGAGAGATAGACAAATATATATATATACAGAGAGAGAGAGAGACAAAATATATATATATATATATATGCAGAGAGAGATAGACAAATATATAGACAGACAGATAGATAGATAGATAGATAGATAGATAGATAGATAGATAGATAGATAGATTACGTAAGGTCTCTGAAAAACTAAATGCTCTAAACGAGAAACACTGCATCAAGCATATCCAAATCATTGTAAAAGATGTTCGTTTTTAATTTTATAACTACATTATTAACAAGAGAGATATGAATCTATAGATATATGTAGGCTACTTCTTTATCTAAAACACGGTTGCCGTAAAAGTATTCTCCAACTGTCGTAATTCATTTGCGCCAACTTTGAAGAGACTTGTCAAAATCATTGCAGGAAATCTCTGAACCCGCCCCAAACTAAAACGTTTACCTTCAGCACTTATTTTACTTTCAATAAAGTCTTTCACGCATCTTGGTACATTAATTGTCCTCTCGCTATAAACATTTGTCAGACTTTTTTCGATAGAGGCAGGAGAAAGTTCCTCTTTGATTAAGGACTTTATGACGTCTTTTTTTCTTCCTCCATATTCAGCAACACCTGAATAAACAGAAAATATAATTTTTTATAATATACTATATATTAATTAGCGTTGTGTATTTATTTATTCATATCTTTCCTGTCACATTCAATATATAGAAGTGTTGATTGATTTTATCTATCAGTATATCGAACTTTATGTGTTATTTAATGCCGAAATCTAAATGTTTTGTACTGAATTTTATGGCTTCAACTAAATATATTTTGAACGGAAATGTATGACTTCAGCTACAGATAAAATGTATTGTTGGTCGTTTTTATATATTATTGGTAATTATACTATAAAATGTATTGCTGATCATTTTGCTTTAAAACTGGATTCTTGGTATTTGTACTTTAAATATGTATTGCTGGTAACTTTTTTACTAATAAAAACATTGTTTTTATACTTTCATAGTCTTTCTTTTGTTTGAAGGTTCACTATTTCATAATAGCTGGGACCCTAAAAAGGTGTACCACCTCGTGTTAGAGTAAGTCTGGGAACAGCAGGCATTAAGACGTTGTTTCACCCTCGTCAAAACCTCCAATATCCCGAACAGAAGATTTAATCCTGGATGTAGTTTATGGCAATACGACTAAATCTATTTGGAAGGGTATTAAATTAACTTAAGATTGTAAAATTTATTAGTGCCCTACTTCCCATGGTAATATTTTGGTGGAGCATGCGTAGTGTGTGCGCCCTATACCAACAGAATAAGGAGGTGCAATTCGAGAATGAGTTATTAACAGTGAATTCTGTCTATATTTCTAAGATGACGTATTATTATGCACACTATTTACATTATTCGGACTATTGTCCTCATCCTTGTCTCCATATTTATTACGTTTCGGCCGTTGTACGCTCCGGCCGTTGTACGCTCCGGCCTTCTTCAGGTGGTTGGAATGACGAACTGAACCCTTTATTTCATTCACATGGGTAGACTGTTCTAGGACACATGGATAAATGTGTTGGTTAGATCAAGTGACAGGACCCAAAGTGTGTGTGTTCAATACCCGGTTAAGGCAGTGAAGAACTTGGAGAGGGGAATTAACAGGAGATATCTGATAAGTAACATCCATTAAACATGGCACGTGAAACTACCCCAGTGAGCGAAATAAAGAGTCCACTTCGACATTCCAACCATATGAAGAAGGCCAGAGCGTACAACGGCCGAAACATTGTAATAAAGATAGCGACAAAGATAAGGACAGTAGTCCGAAGAATGTAAATAGTGTACATAATACCTCATCTCTGTAATATAGACAGATAATGAAGAAGGCCTGAGCGTACAATAGTGTTTCATAACAGTGAATTGCTTTCTAGTGAGTCTGAATGAGAGTGTTAATGTTAATGCGTATTAATACATACGACGCATATACAGTATGCATATATAAGAATGTTTTGCGTGTATGTACGTACATGTATAATTGGCATACTAGGTATTTCACGTCTCCCCACACACGCAACAAAGAAGAGGGCGTGATGCATTTCGCTGGAAGAGCCCATGTATTGTCGGCCAATCAGCGCGTGTGAGGATTCTGTGAGCATATAACAGGGCGCACCAGGATTTTAGAAATATCCAGCTGGGGTAAGGACACAAAAAGGTTGAGAACCACTGATTTAAACACAATAACACCCTAAGAAAAATGAACCTTTAAATTACTCCGGTTCCTTACGACTGTCTTTCTTAGACTGCAGTTTTATTTGTTCAAGCCTTTCTCAGTTACCTTTGTCTGAGAAAGACTTCAACATTAGAAAAGGTATAGCATGGACTGCTTGTAACAAAATGGATAAGATCTGGAAATCCAATCTTGCTCGACAATTCAAAATCCAACTTTTCCGCGTTGTGACGTCGCCCCCTTGTCGCAGGGCCAACTGTGACGTTCTATTCTGGTCTACCACGGCACCAACTGTGACGTCCCTAAACAGCACCAATTGTGACGTCTTCGCCGCCAGCTGTTCGCTCCTCGCTTCTCCGTTCGGGTGTCGCATGCTCCAAACGTGACGTCCGCCTGTCGCGTCAGTCGTGTTGTCTCGTCATGTGACGACCAACTGGCTTGGTATCGGTCGCGGCACCCAAATGACGTTCTAACCTTTTGGTGATTCGTTTGGGAATCTGGTTGAATTGATATCAACCCTCGTCGTTCCAACTCGCTTCCAACGCCTGGTTACCAAGGTAACTGCATTGATCCCCAGTCTGCCTACCCACGTTAGAATTGATCTTAGGCAGACGAGATCAAACGGGGTTGGGCCATAATACAAACCGAGTTCAACGGGGTGATACCACACAAATATGCATAAAATAAAATAAAATGAAAACTCAAAAGTTCAAAGTATCAAAAAAAAAAGGTAACAAACTTTTTATGTCTAGTTGTTCGATATATAGGACTGTGTCTATCTCCCGACCCGTTCTATGGATTGTGACACGTTTTCCGTTAGGCGAGTTTTAACGCTTCAAGTTGTTTGCTCTCTAACAAATTGGTTTTTCGGTGTGTCTTCAGACAAAAGTCGAAAAAAAAACTTATTTCGGTGGTATGGATCTAAGTCGCTCTTCAAAATAATTGTTCTTGGGTTGAAGAGGAGACCGGAATTTGCGTGAATCTTGGTCAGCTATCTGCGAGGCGGCTTAAACTGGAGACTGACTCTTCGCTGCAACTCCAACTCAAACTGAAATTGGAACTTGAACTCACTGGAACTGATTTCTGCTCGTTGTGACTTCGCTTATATGGACGCCGACCAAAACCGGGGTGGGTTTGTCGGCGTCGGG